ATTCATCATTTTTCCAATAATCCTCCACATGAATGAAATTGATGATTTATTCAAAAAACACTTCGGCACGATGTGATGATAGCCTATACAATTGATAGTTGCATAGGATAAGTAGATGTCCTCCTTTGAACCTTCCCTTGTGACAGTATATTTACTTTATTGGCTAAACAATATATGCAATGTCCTTTAATTGTTCTGTTATTTGTGTAAACGATGACATACTTCACACAACTACTCTTCTAACAAGAATTTAGTTCTCATGGGCATGTCTTTAAAGCCATGGACTTCTTTCTGGTTCTGCAAGAGTTTATAAGAACAATGCCCAATAGTCTCCTTGAAACGGCCTCACTTCACTCTCACATAGGTAACTTATGTTGCTTGGCTCACGGAAGCACACAATGGTCATTAAAAGCTTTTTGCTTAGCCTATACCACTTTGATCACTGTTTACATCATAGGAATGAACTTGGGATAAGAAACCCCCACAATAGTCGTACACGGGTTATGCAATTAGGTTGTCCCTTTGAACCTAGATCTTGGGATCTCCAGTTAACAAGGTAGGGTTTTCGTTCACATAACACTTTTAAATTTCATGGGCTTTAGTCATATTCCTTTAGATGTTTTCTCAACTTGATCTCTATTTAACCGTTAAGTTAGTGGATCCGTAATGTTATCCTTTGATCTTACAAAATCAACAGAGATAACTTAATTTGAGATCAGTTGTCTATGGTATTATGTCGATGACTTATATGTCTCGACTTACCATTATACTTGCTAGTTACAGTATAAATATACTTTGGGCACATGTTTAAGTCATTTAAGAATATCCTCCGAGAAATTCCAAAGCAACTCAGCTTATTCTCCAGACTTATCTAGAGCTTCAAACTCAGATTTCACTATGAATCTGGTTATAACCGTTTTCTTAAGGATTTTCATGACACTTTTTCTTTCCAATGTGAAACATATTCACTTGTGTCATTGATATTTTAAATATCAAATTTCAACTAGCACCGGTCTATCCTTATAAGATAGTAGGATAGTCAAAGAAAATACAATCCATCATTTAGGATTTATTTTCATTTATTTTGGTAATATGACAATTATCTTCTCAAGACACCCCCACATTTTCAAGTGTTTGTATGACATATGTTTTCATCATTTTCATAACTCATGTGGTGTCTTGTCCTTTTTCCTTTCCTAGGGACTTTATTTAAAAGGTAATTAGTTGACAAAACAACTTCTCTCCCCCACATGTTCTGTGCAACTCAGAATTTTTTAGCGTTGAGTTCATTGTTCAATTATTCCACTTTTCTACTTCATTTATTTTAGGAGAATATAGTGATATCATTTCATGAGTAATATCATGTTGTGCACACTTCTTACCATCTTAATCTGTTTATTAAGTTGGTTTTCAACTTCATGTTTATAGAAAATAATTTTTCTATAACTTCATTTTGTTCTTTTAGCAAATACACATAGCAATACTTTTGCTATCATCAATGGATGATAATAAAACATTTATTCTCCCTCGTCTATGCCATTATTATGAAGTTTAAGAACTTGACCACTAAAATTTCCTTAGTATCAGCATCTTTCGTTTTGTATCTATGGTCCAATATTATCCAAAATTCTTTTATCCACCTTATTGATACTACACACCTTATAGTGTATCCGATAATACATTCAGGATGTATTTCCAAACTTTAGTGAATCCAATAACAACATTTACCTCATCCTCTCTAATAATAGAAGGATCATCTCACATTTGGTCAAATTCACCATGACCAAATAAAATAACATCTATATGTTACCACATCTTGAAATTATATTTATATAATTTTACAAGTTTCTCATTGTGGCTCACAATCACGATTTCATTTAACATACAAAACTAGAATTAATAATAATTTCAACAAGAAACCAAAATTAAATTTTGATTTATTCTATCAACAGAATTTAGTCATGAATTAAATTTTTGAAACAAATCAATAACATGGTTTCTATTTTCCAACGGTTTCTATAGAAATTAAATAATTTTGTTACACGACATAATTAAAATCACAATTGATTTCAAACATGAAATTAAAGATTCCAATAAACAGAAAATTAATTCTTGTTTATTTCCGATTTTGTTATCGAACAAAATCAAATATTCTGAAGAAAAAAAAATCAGTAACCAAAGTTACTTCCACGAAAATTTATGTCATACAGATTTGTCCACTTTGAGATTTTAGCAAACCCGTTAAGACGATAGGATAAATCTTGAAACAAAAATTATTTTCTATCTCGTTTTCCCATGATATCTGAGTCATTTTAGATTTACAGAAACGTAGAAGAAAGAGTTCCGAATCATTTCAGATTAAAGGGAAATATTCAAATTTTACCTACATGATTGACTTCATCGTTGTCAATCAAAACTTGAATTATTGATCATTAACTTCACCATTATTAATCAAAGCCCAAACCATCAAGATTCAAGGTGTGCCCCACAAAGTGTGTAAGTACATAAATCTTGCAAAGATATTGGAATCCAATTATTTGAATCCCTACACAAAAATTAATGGAGTCATGTCTCACATTAAAATTAACTTCAAAAATATTCCTCAAAGAATTTAAAATCATAAATTCAAAAATTGAAGGAAACTTATATTTGGCGTAAAATCCTCTTGATTTTCGTCCAATATTTTTTTTGCTGAATTTTTGACACTTCCTTTGTATACAACAAGGATTAAACTCACAAATTTTATGTCATCTCGGAAAAATAATAATACCAAATATATCTTAAGATTGTTAGAAAAAATCGCGCACATTAATCCGAGAATGATATAAAAAATAATAATGAATAAATATCATTATAAAATTAAAGTGAATGAAGGGATAAGAGATAGAACGAGTTTACTCTTATCTTGATATTGTTATCCGAAATAACAACTTGAGATAAAATCAATCTTGAGAAAATAAACAAAAAAGGTTAAACTTCTTCGAACATAAGATAAAAATAAATGGAAATAAAATACTCCTTTTATTTTGATCTATCGATCGAAATCAGTTGAGGCATGTCACTACATAATTTCTTTAAGACATATTTTCTACCACTCCTTTAGTACTCAAGTTCGTTGGTCGTCTGCACAGATCACGGGTGATCCTTGCCTTCGACTATCACCGAAAAAAACTAAAGAAGACAACTTTTTCAAGATAAAGAGAAGTTCTTGAAAAACTGAGTTATGAGATATCTTGAGATATGAAAAACCTAACATGTTTGCTCACTATTTATAGGAAATTTTCAAGAGATATTTAATTCAACCAAATATCTTTTAATGTTCAACATTAAATAGATAACAATATCTTTTAATTTAAAATATTCAAAAGATAAAAGTTTTTATACCATTCAAACTTAAATATGCATTACTTTAATTTGAAATATACGAAAGTATATAATTATATTTTAATATTTAAAATTAAAAAGATAACAAATATTAAAAGAGTAATTATCCTACTAATATTTAAATTAAAAATTATATTTTAATTTGCAATAGTCAAACATACTATGAACTTGATATAAATATTAAATTCATCAATTAAATTCATCTTTTTTTCAACAGAATTACTATTTGATTATGTAAAAGAAATTAACTTCTAATTATATTTTTTCTTAAAAATAATTTTTATTATTTTAAAAATTATAAAATTTATTATTAGATTAATCCGAACCAGAATCAAACCGGGATTATAAATAAGTTAACCAGATTGTCATTTTTTCTCATCAGACTCGTAGAATGATCACAAGTATTCAACCCAAAATTTCACAGCGGTTCACTCTTGTATTGGACCATAGGTGTGTTAAAACTGGGGTCCAATCTAGAGAAACTAATTTTCGTCATCCACTTAAATTTCTCTCATTTCCGTTTTGTCTCGTAAACCCCAAATCACTTAACTTTAATAATTTGATTTATGTTTTAAAAACTTTTTATGAATTAGCTTGGAAGTTCAAAAAAATAAAAAAAAAATTATAAAAAATATGAAAAATTAAGATATAAAAACATATTCCAAATTATAAAATAAAATAATTTTAATTTTTATAAATTCAAACTAAAACCGATTTCAAAATTAAATTTTTAAATTAGTTCTAATTACTCAAAAAATCTACTCAAATAACGTAAAATTAAAAAAAAAGTTAAACCTATCAAATCAAAGTAAATTTCAGCCACACCTAACACAACTTTAGGTAAAATACACAAATGATCTAAACTATAAAACATTATTTTGTTAAATTATTTGATAATTAAAAATTATAAAATAATCACAACCATATAATATTATTTTATTATATATGAATAGTTACAAAATAATCACTTAATAGTTTATATATTTCAAACTTATTTTTTTTCTTAAAAAGTTAATGAACTTTTAAGTTAAACATTAATATGTTATTATGATATGACAAAAAAAATCAAATTATAAGACATTATTTTGTTAAATCAATAGATTATGTCTAACATAGATAATACTTTAATTTTCAATAAAAAAGATTAGTTTAAAATGTATAAATAGTCAAATGAGTATTTTATAAAATTTTAATAATCAGAGATTTTATAAATTAATATATTATAGTCAAATGATCATTTTATAAATTTTAATAATTAAATTTTTACACAGTTTTGACTTGAACTAATTATTATGTACTCAGAATTATATTGTTTAATTGTAATTTACAGTGGGGAAAAAGAAAACAACATTTGGATTCACGGCTTCACTGCGAGCATACTGGATGGTGACTGTACTGTACACTAAACTTGCTCTTCAGTAAACAAGTAACAATGCACCGCTTGTTGATACAATCTGGAAAAGATCTCCCAATAAATATGGAAAATCTAATAAAGCGACCTCACTTAAAAAAGAAACACCTATGCGATGCCAGCACGTGCTTACGGATTTTTGAGACACGTAGTCATGGCCACTCAATAAGTCAAGCGTCGTCAATTTTCCATATGCCAAGGCACGAGGTCACGACACGTGTCCCTTTGATCTTGGCCACGCGTCTGCCGCTATGATTGTTACTTCATTTTTCTCCGGTAAACCATCCTTAGGTGAAAAAAATAAGTAAAAAAATTATGAATAATAAAATAAAAACACAAAGAAAATTCAAGATAAAACGAATAGAAAGTTATTGTTAGGGCTTCTTCCTCTTTTCCCCCCTTAGAAAACCGAGAAATGGAGGGTGGAGATCACTGGAGAATGCTAAACTGCTCATGGGGTGCACACGATAACACGATAACCAACCGTGTAATGCTCAGATTCCGTCCGATCGCGCCTAAGCCGATGACCGGAGATTCAGATCCCGGTGGTTCTAAATTTAGTAGCAATAACTCGGTCCTTACTAGCAGGAGACCGAAGAGAAAGTACGTTAGGGTTTGTGAGAGAAATAATAGGAAGAAACGAACCTTGGATGAAGCTAAAGAAGATAAAGATGAAAACAAGGGTTTTGTTACCCTACAGTTGATGCCAGAGAAAGCAGACCTAAGGGAATCACTATTTGTTGAAAGATCATGGGGTGTTAGCAAAGATGATCCCGATCGAGCTTTTGGTCTTGATAATTATCGTTTTAAAGATCCACCATCGTTGTGCTTGACGTTGAAGAAAATGATTTCCGCAGGTCACGCGGGGTTCTCCTTGTCCGATCCGGGGCGGACGAGGAGGAGGATGAAGTTGGTTGAGTCGTCGTTGATGGTGGAGAGTGTGATGGAAACTTGCATTGACGACGGTGGGATGGAGAAATGTACGGACGCGGATAAAATGAAGAATCTCGAGGAGGACACATGTCCGGGGTTTATATCGGCTGGGTTGAACCGGGTTTTGTGGGTGAACCAAGCTTACGAAAACATGGTAGGCTTGGGGGACGACGGGGAGGGGGAAGAACGGCCGGAAATCGCCGTGGAGTTACTTACGAAAGACGGATTGGTCGTTCCCAGCGGCGCATTCTCGTGCCGCACACGACTGCGGTTCGTGGATGGAAAGGGTAAGAATTGCTGGAAAATGGTTCCCTGCGACGTTTGGAGGCTGAGCTCCGGTGGATTGGCATGGCGGCTGGATTCTAAGGCCGCTCTCAGTTTGGGACTCTAGAGATTAAAGCAAATCCACATCCACGATTCTGAAGGTAAATTTAAAGTTCCCAGTCTGCCTCGAAACAATGGACGAATTGTATGACAATATAGTTTGGGTATATAAATATAGAGATAGTTATATGAAACTTGATAGATAACCATTAGACTTGTAAGCTTCAATAAGCAATGATGAATTTTCAAAGGCGTGGCTCAATAATTGATATACACGCAACATTGATTAAAAAAAAGTTTTCACATTTATAGATGAAAAACATATGATATTTAGGTTTAGGGACTAGGGTCATGTTTATGTGCAATACAAGTATGCACTGAAAGGATCTTTCAAAGTATAATAATAGAAAGGTTTAGTATTTTATGCATCCATAGTACATTATTAATAAATTCTATTTATTATAAGATTTTAAAATTAAATTTATCTCTGAAATATAATCATATGATTTATTAAATGTGTATAAAATTATATATTATATAACTTTTATTCTTTTAAACTTTCTTTTTACTTCTACCAAACAAAATGTAAGAGATAAAAGGGAAATGTATCACACCTTATGTATATTGAGATTTTCTATGACTCATAAGTAGGTGAAAGTATTGATATAATAATAATAATAACAATAAAATAATTAAAGAAATCTAACAAGTTTCCACATTATTATTTATGGAGTAGTATTTACATTAGATATGAGTGTATCATTGTATTAAGGTATTTTTACTCAAAAAAACCCAAATATTATAATATTACATGCTAGGCTCACTTTTTCTTAAATTTTATCAATCTAATACCCTTTCTAATAATACAAGTCTCATGAAACATCCTTTCTAAGGAAAATGTTAGCATGACATCATGTGAGTAGACGCGTTTCAAAGAACGCACCTTTAAGAGTTTTTTTGTCAAATCAGATTCCTTGGAAAGTATTTTAAAAAATATGCTTTAAAAAATAAAACTATAAATATTGACAACGTAATTTAATAAATATTAGTTCCATGAGTCAAATAACTTAATGGTGTTAGTTTATATAAGTATATTGTAATGTTTAAGTTATGTTTCTTGACAATGTCGGATAAAAGTTAAAAAGTAAATTTCTTAATTTTTTTTATCTCTATATCTAATGAATCCACTGATTCAGTATTATTAAATTACATTAGGTTAATATTTATTATTAAGATTTATTAATTAAGATTAGATATTTTTTATATGTTAATATATTTAAATATTTATTTTTTAATTATGAGTTCAATTTTTTTTTTGAATCTAATATAAAAATATAAAATTAAACATGCATGATCATGACACCATTAAACTCTTATAAATGGTTGATTTCTTTGTTGCCATTCTTATTCATAAAACTTTATTTTGAGATATTATATTGTTTATGAACTTCTTACAAATGGCTGATTTATGTGTTGCTTGTTTATACCTAAGCGTTTTTGCAACCTTTTGAAGCCTCTTGCTAAAATTGCTCTATTTTGGTATATAGCAACAACTTATATATATTGCAAGTATGATTTAGTATGTCGAACTCATTCGCCATATATGGCTTTTAAATGTTACCATATTGCAAAAGAATTATGGTTATCCAAATAACCAAACAATTGTTATCCATCATGTATAACATTTGAAACGAATGAGTAGGCATGTATACCTCTAGTGAAAGCAAAATAGTTTTGAATCAGAATTTGTTAGTTTCTCGCCTTATCAAAAGCGTCATGCAACTTGCTTCAAATATGAGAAGCGTATGTTAGTAAGGTATGATTTAGTTTGTATTTCATTATAGGCTAGAATCTTACATAATGGATATATTGTTCGCATCTGCATCGCCTAGTCCTTAGCAAGTAAAATTTCCAAGGATGCGAGATTATGTATTTGTGTTTTGTGTTTGGATTAAAAACTTGTAATTTCCTCTCATGCAACATGAAGTTCACTTGTATGGAAGTTGAATCGGTTGATTGTCATTATTTTCTATCAACTATTATATTCTTGTCTACAAATTATGATGTTTACTTCTACAGGTACAGGTTGAGCTATAACCATAGTAAGTTTGAACTCATAATTAAAAAATAAGTATATAAATATATTAACATATAAAAATATATATAATCTTAACGATAAATATTAACTTTGTAATTTAATAATAGTGTATAAGTGAAATCATTAGATATATAGATAAAAAAATTAAAGAATATTTTTTTTTGTTTTTATCTCACATTATGAAGAAACATAACTTAAACACCCTAATATGTCTATATAAACTAATATCGTAAAGCTCTTCAATTTATGAAATTAATATGTATTAAATAACACTATTAATTCCTATAATTTTATTTTTAAATTTTAAGGTATTTTTTTAATATTTTTAAGAAATCTATGTGGTAAATAAATTTTAGAATGTGTCTATCTTAAAATGCGTTTTAGCATATGATAAAATATAGAAGAAAAAAAGATGTTTAACATGTAATATTATAATATTTAGGTGATTTTTTGGGGTAAAAACGTCTTGAATTAATAATAGGGTAAAGTATAATAATGATCATTGAACTTTTGTAAAGTTTTTTTTAGGTCTCCTAACTTTTAAAACTTACAATACAGTCCCTTAACATTTAGTCCGTTTGTAATATGGTCCCCAACCGTTACACTGTCGTTAGTACGTTTGTATTATGTTCACTAAACTTTTCAAGAACTTGTATTTAGGTCTCCCAACTTTTAAAACTTATAAAACATTCCTCAATTTCATTCTAAACCTTAAATTCCTTTTTGATCTCGGATTTCCTTTTTTTTTCTTAACGTAACTTTTCAGTCGGGGATAAATGGAAAATTCTAATATAATTTTGAATTATGTGGAGGTGTTAACTTGAATAAGGGTCTATTGAGAAAAGACCTTACCAAGGGACAATCGGGAACATCAACGATTCAAAGTGTAATGTTAGATACATGTTATCTTAGGTGAAGCATAGATGTTTGATGAAATGCTTATGAGAAAAAAAATGAGGTTAGAAATACAGAGTTGACAAATACTACTAAGATGAACTAAGTATCATTGTTGAAAGTCACCAATAAAGTTGTAATTATTTTGTATAAATGACATATAATAATTTTTTCGTTTAATACTTGTGATTAAATATTTTCCAACAGATGATCAAATATAATGAAATCCCAAACAGTGCATTCACCTTTCAGTCTCTTTTGCAACTCGAAAGGCATCATGACAGGGTCAAGTAGTTACTCCAAATATATTACCTTATAATGGTGTATTTCGAGTTGTGTGCATGCATAATTGTCTTATAAAGCTATAATTCAATACAATTTAGCTGTAAAGTTTTCAAAACATGTAAAAAATCAAATTCGTTCACGATATATCAGTCCCATAATTAACATGAACTTATTAAAAAGAATACGAGCTCACAGGACGCCGAAAACCACAGGTCGGATCAATACAATTTCCAATAAACTAGTACCAACAGTCTCTCGGATTGAGCCTGGCGATTTTACTATGTCGATACTCACAACCAATTCTATGATTTAAAGAAAAATCAAACATGAAGATAAAAAAAATTAGCCTTATATTCTGATGGACTGAATATCTTTCATAAGGAGTACTAAAAGTTTTGATTAAGAAGAAATAAATAAAATTAGATGGTTTTGGTTCAAAACTAACACTGAATATCCATATCATTGACATGCAGTTTTAGAAACTTAAAAATTTCAACAAAAAACACACAATGCGAGCTGAAAATGAGAAAGTGCGAAAGAGGAAAAACTTACTTCTGGATAGTCCAAAAGAGAAAATAAATACATTCTTATAAGTGAGGGGGAGACTAAGAAATAAACACAATCAATGTTGCATTCCAACAATTCTTCTTTTAATTTTTTAAATAAAAAATAAAAGACAGAGCACTGCTTGAGTTTACAATTTTACATGGCTGAAGATTGAAGAACAAAAACCAAACGAAAGTGCATGTGAGCGAAAGAGACTGATAGGTGAATGTGTTGTTTGGGATTTCATTATATTTGATCATCTGTTGGAAAATATTTAACCACAAGGATTAAACGAAGAAATTATTATATGTCATTTATACAAAATAATTTCATCTTTGTTGGTGACTTTCAACAATGATACTTAGTTCATCTTAGTAGTATATGTCAGCTCTACATTTCTAACCCCATTTTTTCTCACAAGCATTTCATCGAACATCTATACTTCACCTGAAATGACTTGTATCTAAAATTACACCTTGAATCGTTTATGGTCATGATAGTCCCTTGGTTGGATCCTCTCAATGGACCCTTATTCAACACCTCCACATAATTCAAAGTTATATTAGAATTTCACATGCATCCCCGACTGAAAAGTTACGCTAGAAATGAGAAGAGATAAGCGAAAAAGAAAATTCGAGATCGAAAAAGTATTTGGGTTGGAGGACCTAAGTGTAAGTGTCTGAAAAATTCAGTGATCATATTGCAAACATACTAACGGAAGTGTAACGATCGGGGGTCATATTACAAACGAATTAAATGTTTAGGAACTGTATTATAAATTTTAAAAATTAAAAAACCTAAATAAAATATTTAAAAAAATTCAGTTATCATTACTATATTGTACCCTTAATAATATTATAAGTGAGATGACATTGATTTGGTTGAAGAAATAATTTAAATGTTAAAATGTTTTTAAAATATTAAATGGAATATCTGGTCTTTTAGTTTTACTTTTTGACACGTTGCTCTGCTCCCTTCTACCTTTTAAAAAAAAATAGAAACTAGCATTTACTATAAAAATAATTTAATTTGACAAACATCTGATTAAAATCATATGGGGTATTATCTATTCAATCTGAAAGAAATAAACACGCGGGAGAAGCAGGAAAAGTATCGATCCCATCAATTGAAGCCTGATGTTTCATTACGTGTCTCAGCCACTCATAGATCCGCAATTCCACGTCCTTATCAAATCTCGCCACGCGTCCCAATTGACTGTCATTTCATCAATCAAATCGTTCCACGCGCTCATTTTAAACGTACGCAGGTCACTCAAATAGTCCGCAACTAAACAATGTCAATTAAAGTTAATTCGGACATATAATCATTTTCAAAGAACCCAATCTCAAAGCTTGGTTAGCCATTGGCTAACGCAATTAGGTGTAGTGCAACGTGGAGGAATGAACGGGCGAGTAGTTGAAGAATAATGTCAAAAGGTGAGTAAAATTAAAAGGCTAGAGAAGGAAGACCACGTATGCACTTTCTCGAACCTCCCCCTTTAAAGATTCTTTTTTGCAATTCAACATCCGCTACCGAGACACTACCCACGTGTCCATCATCTTTATCCAGTGCTGGACACACAGCCTTCTCTGATTGGCCGTAGTCGTGGGCCCATCTCCATCACATGCCATCTTAATTCAATTAAAATTAAACTGTGGTAATTCATATGATAGAATATAAAGTAAAGCTTACCATTAAAATATACACACCACTTTAAGTAACTATTTTTTTTGTTACGGGTAAAATCTAGTCTCTATAAATTATTTTTACTTTAAAACTAGAGCTATATTTTTTATTTTATAGTTACTTTTATTATTTTAATATTTTTATTAACTAAGCTGATTTTATGTATTATAATGTATATATAGTTGCGAATTTGATAATTCTTTTATGGTTTACTTATTTTATTTTTATATTATATGCTAAGACATAATGTGTTGAATATTAGCTTTTCTTGAAGTTTAAAAAATATATTACGATTGAGAGGATAGAATATTATATACTTGAAAATAATTTTATATATTATATTTATTCTTGTCTAATATATTATATAATCATATTAATCAACATCTAACTTATAGTATAAGTTTTTTGTGGTATAATTTCGTGAAAATATTATACTTCTATCTAAGTAAAGAAGTGCTTCATTATATCAGTTTTATATTTCATGCACAGATATATTCATCTATTCATATTTGATGTATTCATTATTTATAAATAATAAAATATGGTATAAATTTTAAAATATATTAATAATATATAAATGATATATTTACATATTTTCAATATATATATATTTACACAATAGTTACTAATCTTAATTGTTATAAAAAATACATTTAAAAATTTAGTAGATATATGATAAAAAATCTCCACTGTTCATAAGTTACCCTAAACACGTGTTGCTCTCTCTAATAATTTGCAGCTATGATTATGTTTCTGATAAGAAAGAAAAAACCTAAAAAATAAAACTGAAATTTAAAGAGAGAAAATGATTAGAGGTTTTGAAGAGAAAAGCAGAGAAAACTGAAAGTGGATTTGTGTTTTTCCCCCCGGCGGCGAAAAGATGAATAACAGTGGTGAGAAATGGAGCTTTGTAAGCTATAGATGGGGTTTGCAAAACAAAGCTGTGAACATCAATCCGATAGCGCTAAGATTCCGGCCAATCGCTCCGAAACCGGTTACCGGAGAGTCTGATTCCCGCGGGGGTCAGTTTGGTAACAAAAACTTGTTGCTTTGTAAGCCTAGAGCTAAAAGAAAGTACGTTACGGTTCGAAAGAATAATATCAAGAGAAATAAAAGATCATCATCATCACCACCACCAATACCACTAGATCATGATCATCGACGAACTTCAAATAAAACTGAAAAGATTGTCACGTTGCAGTTATTGCCAGAGAAAACTGAAGCGAAGGGTGTAATTAACGATGAAAGCAGTGCATTTTTGGAGGAAAATAATCAAGATCTGCCTTGTTTGTTTAACTCCAACTTGAAAAGCCGGTCGGAGGAATCTGATCGTACGGACTTGGTGAGTCAAACGGAAAGGGAAACGGTGGTTGAGTCGTGGGTTACGGTTGAGTGCGTGACGGATACTTGCATGGTAGGGAGAGAGCTCGGGAATACGGACGTGGAGAAGATGAAGAATCTGGAGGAGGACACGTGTCCAGGGTTTATATCCGACGGTTTCAACAGGGTTCAGTGGGTTAACCGGGCGTATGAGAGGATGTTGACGGTGGGGAAAGGGCCTAAGGAGTGGTTGCCGCCGGTGTCGCCGCCAGAGATAAAGGTTTGGCTTGTGATTAAAAAAGATTTACCTAATTTTTGCACTGCATTTTCATGCAAGGTAAGGTTGCAGTTCACGTGGCTGAACAAGAGTTCCACGATAATGCTTCCGTGTGATGTATGGAAAATGGACGGCCCTAGCGGCGGTCACGGTGGTTTTGCATGGCGGCTCGACATCGAGGCTGCCCTCAGTCTTGGCCTTTCAAGGTAAATGAAATATCTAAGCAATAAAAAAAATAGAATAATAAGTTATTTTGGACCATTTTTTTACTGGATTGTGGATGGTTATACATAAATGAATACAAATATATATATATATATATATATATATATATATATAAAAGAAGGAAAAATAAATGTACGATATAAAATGCAATTGGCATTGTGTTTACGGAACTCGAAAAGAAAATATAAATATCACTTTAAATTATTTAAAACAAAAGAATAATTTGTTAATTATATATACTTTAAAATGGTAAAATCAACGATATAATGCGTTGAATTTTTTTTTTTTCACGAGATAGTTCTCTCGTCAGATTAATTGCTCAGATAGGGTGATATCTACAGTCCCTAGGGTAGGTCGCCATGCACGCCCCAACACGCTGGGCATCCGAGGCCATCCGAACGAGCTATGCGAGGGCATCCGAGGGCAACCGAGCGAAGGTAGGTCGCCATGTACTCCGGGCGACCTACCCTCGCTCGGATGTCCTCGGATTCCCTCGCATAGCTCGCTCGGATGCCCTCACATAGCTCGTTCGGATGGCCTCGGATGCTCTCGGATGGCATCGGATGCTTTCGGATGGCCTCGGTCGGATGGCCTCGGATGCCCAGCGTGTTGGGACGTGCATGGCGACCTACAACAACGTTTCACGCTGGACATTCCAATACAAATGCTAGACTTCATAATTAATCTTTTTTCTCTAAATTCAATAATAAATTTCTATATATACACACAACTCTGTTAATCTTAAAAATTAAACAGAGAAACAAAGATGCCTAAAGATATATTATAAATAAATGTAAATAAAATACAATAATAGACTAAAAATGTTTTAAAATTTGAATCTGAAAACACCACACTATTTGATTGCATGGCGACCTACCTTTGCAAAACACCCCACAGGTCGCTCGGATGCCATGGCGACCTCCAAGGTCGTCCGGATGCCATGGCGACCTCCAAGGTCGCCCGGATGCCATGGCGACTAGGGTTGCACATAATTCGGATTTCAATCCGATCCGGATCGGTTTTTATCCGATCCGGTTTTTTCCCATAGAAAAAAAACCGGTTTATAAAATAACCGGTTCGGTTTCTAACCGGTTTGGAGGGCCGGATATCCTAACCGGTGTAACCGGTTTCGGTTTTAAAAAAACCGGTTTTTTTAAAAAACCGGTTATAAAAAAACCGATTTTAATATTCCAGATTGCTCATAGGGAACCGATTCCCCCCAAGGGGGTACCGATTCCTCACTGAATGGTTTGGCTCCGAGATTTCCAGAATGCTCGGAGGGAACCGATTCCCCCATAGGGGTACCGATTCCCCCCTATTCAACGGTCGAAATATTTGAATTTTACACTTAGGGAACCGATTCCCTATGAGAGGGTACCGATTCCCCCACGCTCTAAGCATTTTTATTAAATGTTCACACTTAAACGGCTATATTATCTTCATTAATTATCACTAACGTTCAGAAGTGATTCAAGGTGTATTTAAGCAAGCTTAGAAGTCATTGATCAAAGACAAGAAACATCAAGCAACTAGAATCAAGAGAGAATCAAAGAGAAAGCATCAAACCTCAAGTTCAATAAATTCAAATACTTAATTGAAATACTTAATTAACTCAACATAATTGAAATACTTAAATACTTCCAAGTTTGATAAATTCAAATACTTAAAAACTTCCAAGTTCGATAAATTCAAATACTTAAAAACTTCAAGTTCGATAATTAAAACAAAGTTTACGATAATTGAAATAAAGTTATAAAATAAACTACATTGCCATCTCTTCTTCATCATCTTCGCCTTCTTCGTTTGGAGGGGATATTCCAAGTTCGACTTCTTCAATGTGTAAGTTTGCTTCCAAATCGGCATCAATTGCATCTTCTAGGGTGGTGATATGTTGCTTACGAGCCGCTCCATCCAAATAATCCTTTAAACAAATGCATACTTCCACCGACTCGGGACTTAGTCTTGATCTCCGTTGCGATATAACCCTGCCACTAACAGAAAAAGCGGATTCCGAAGCTACCGTAGAAGCTTGGATGGTTAGTAAATCACGGGCCATGGCGGCTAGAATCGGAAATTGTGATTCCTTTTCTTTCCACCAAGCCAAAATATCCAAACTTTCAAACTCTTCAAATGTCATTTTTGATAGAAAATCGCATGACATATAATTTCCCAACTCGCTACTTGGGGTGGTAGTACGTGATCGTTTGGATTGGGAATTTACAAGAGTGTTAAAAAGATTCAAATTTATGTTACTTGGACGTCTACTAGATGATTCCGCATTCATTCTCATTTGATCGTGTATTACACTACTTGATCCGTATTTATTTAAATAAATTGCAAACATGTCTCGAAAACATTTGTTAAAATAATTTATTTGGTTTTGGACAAAGTTGGGTTCATCATCGGTTAGATTAAAAGCAAATGCAATTTGTTCAATTAGTGTTTCAACCCCACCAACATTTAACGTTGGGTTTAAAGCGGCGGCACAAGTAAAAATAGGGGGAATCTCCTTAAAATATTTTAAAAGTTTTTCCTTCATTGCAAAGCCAATTTCTTGAAAAACTTCGGTTTCAAATTCAAAGTCATTTAGTCGGGTAGCCAACAAAAATATTTGATTAAGAACCAACGGGCTAGTAGGGTAATAAACACCGGATAAAAAAGTTGTTGCATTTTTAAAAACCTCAAGCAAATCGGTTATTTTGGCTATAGTTTCCCAACTCGAATCCGGATAAATGTCTGGGACATGACCCCTCTCGAAAAGCCGATCGTGAAATGTTTGCAATGTTTCCCTTTGCCTTAAGGCAGTATGCATCATCATCCAAGTTGAGTTCCAACGAGTTGGACAATCCAAATTAGGACCCAAAGCTTTTTTATTAACAGACTTACAAAATCGTTTATAATCATTTAGTCTTTTGTTGTTGTTACAAAGAATCGATTTTATCATTGTTTTAAATTCTAATCTAATTGGCTCAATAACCTCCAAACCGGCTTGCACGGATAAATTAATTATGTGTGCAACGCAACGGGTATCAAAAAACGCACCGTCTAAAATCGGTGAAAGTAATATTTTCAATCTTGGAATCGCGTTTGTATTATTCGATGCATTATCAAAAGATATAGAAAAAACTTTATTTTCTAATTTATAAAGACAAATTACCCGTTTTAAAAGTGTAAATAAATTAGCACCGGTATGCGGCTCACCGAATAATTCAAACGCGATTGTTCTTTTCATCATTTGCCAATTATCTTGATCTAACCAATGTGACGTAACGGCTAAAAAAGAATTTCCGGTATTATGAGGGGAACTCCAAACGTCACATGTAAGCGACACACCATAACGGTGTTCTTGGAATCCTAAAATCATTTTTTCCCTCGCCGTACGCCACATTTTTATAGCATCTCTTCTAAGGGTAGTACGACTTACTTGAGTATAACGTGGTTGCATTAGTTGTTGAATTGTTGTCGTGAAATCTTCATCATCAAAGTGGTCGAACGGCAATGCTTTTGTAATCACGAACTTTGTAAACGCTTCTCGTAATTTTTCGTTGTCGTAAACAAAAACACCACCTTGCGGTGTAAGATTCGATTGACTAGGATCCGATCTTGAGCGAAGTGCCTTGCATGATTTTGTCAAATGGTTCTTCAACGTTGTGTTTCCTTCCGATGCAAGAAACTTTAGACAAAGTTTACAACGCGCCCTCCTCGAGCCATTTGACATCTCACATAAATCGTAGTGATCCCAAATATCTTTGTTTCGAGTGTGTTCGATCACTCTCACGACTTCAAGGTTTCCCCCGACGGAAGATTCAGCAGTGTTACTCATGATGAATAAAAAATTACAAAACTAAGATTTGAGAGATGTTTAAGTGTTGTGTAATAAGATTTGAGAAAGTTGTAATCAACCAAATACATCCCCAACCTATTTATACATGTTTAGGGTGGTAAAATGGTAATTTTTTAAAGAAAAAAACGGTCAAAAACGGTCACAAACGGCTATATTAACGTCTAGTTTTTTAAACCCAGACCGGTTTTTTTTTCGGATAAAAACCGGTTTTTTAACCGGTTTTTTTCAAACCGATTTTTTATCCGGTAAAAAAACCGGTCTAGGTTTTTTTCTCCAAACCGGTTAAAATAACCGGTTTAAAAAAATCCGATCCGGTTAAAAAAAAACCGGTTTTTCCCAAAATCGGTTTCGGATATTTTTTTCGGATATTCGGATATTCGGATTTTTTGTGCACCCCTAATGGCGACCTCCAAGGTCGCCCGGATGCCATGGCGACCTCCAAGGTCGCCCGGATGCCATGGCGACCTCCAAGCTCACTGTAGAATTCACCCCATTTCAGCAATTAATCTGGAATGTGCATTATCTCGTGAATAAAAAAGTTCGAGAACATTATCTCGTGGATTCACCCACTTTAAAATATTCTCATAATTCATTAGATATGATGAGCAATCCAAGACCCCAGATTTTGAATTTATATTTATATATTTAATTAGGTTTAATAGTGTTAGAAAAGAAGAGTTAGGTTGTCAAACAAGGACTGGTACCAGCTGGAGAGACAAAGTACAAAACTTTAAACTATTTTTATTTTTGTTAAGATCGTCATGGGACAGGTGGAGTTAAAACTAGCCAAAACAAATTACGAGTTTATCTTTCTTGGACACGCGTTATAATTTCAGACAAAACTAGGTTGCTTAGGTAAAATTCAAAATATGTATCTGAAAAATAGATAGATGGTGATGAGCTCTTTGTCGTTTTGACAGATAATATAGGAATGAGGATTACTTCAGTTTGCCATCTAATTATTGAATATTTTAGTTTATTTTTTATCAACAAATAAATTCATTAAAATAAAACACGAAAGAAAGAGCAACCCAGTAATAACAAGAGGTCAAAATATGAAGAATAAATATAAATATATCTAATTAACTTGAAACTCAAATAAAATTCGAATCAAAACTGAAATCAAACGAATGAGGTGCCC